AAAAAAGACTTTACATGGGGTCAGAACTCTTGACACAGATGTTTTAGCATAGGGGAAAGAAAGAAATGCTTTGTTACTGATGGTGTCTGGCCACTTTATCATGCCACTCTATCCTACGGTGAGCCACCCTACTTGATCAGTTTACACATGTGAGTCTATAAATGCCCTACGGAAGCTAAAATTATATTAATAGATACAAAATTCGGCTCGTTATAATTATTTTTACTGCGGGTTCTCTGAATTTTGCTGCTTAGCTTTCACCCGCAGCTGAGTGGGAGCCACAAAACCAAGACCTGTTTCCCTGGTAACGCTCCCAGCGCCAGGGCCTGCGACCCCTCCCTTTCTCGCGAGAAGAGACTGCCCAGTTCTTCCGGTAACTTTAGAGCCGCCTGCCGGTCGCCTCCCTCTTGCCCTTGGCTTCGCGCATGCCCAGAGAGAGTGGCGGGAGTCTGCGTTTTCCGGCCAGAGGACATGGTGCGTTTTCGGGGTCATGTTTGTGCTTCCTGTTTTGGAATCCACGCGGGTTGTGGGAGTTCCGCGCCTGCTGATCTGTTCGGGGTTTAGCCGAGGGGGGATGTGACTAGGCGTCCCGCCTCTCTAGGGGAAGGGAAGAAAGAAGCAATAGAGTCGCTGAAGTTCGTGCCGAGGAGCCGGGGAGGGAAGCTCTGGACTGGGAAAGGGACGCGGGGGCTGAGTGGTGCGAAGGCTGTTGCTCTGTGCCCTGTGGGATACAACTCCTTGTCGCTGGAACAAATTTTGCACTGTCTGTAAGAGTTGAGCCTAGCTGAAGAAAGGAATTATAAATCCCAAATGTGGACCAAAACAATGCACGTTTTCCCCTCTCTCCCTCTTACTCCCCTCACTACCTCATCATGAGTACGTGCCCTTCTGAAGCTTAAATCCTTATCCTCTATCCACACACAAAAGGGAGAGCCCTGGAGTACAGCCGTCCAAATGCAGAGTTGTTTAGATAGTAATGGCGTCTGCATGAGGATGTAGAAGAGTCCTTATGACGTAAAGGAGATATGGAATATAGCCTCCCAAACTTGATATTTTGAGTTTCTGAAATTAGCCTTCTGCCTGGTCCTTGTAACATACCCCAAAGACAAAATACAAAGTATTTCCAGACATAATCATCAATCCTTAAATTACAAAATAAGACATTTTTATATATTGGAAGTATTAAGTTGTTCTTAAATAACCAGCCACGGCTGGGCGCGGTGGCTCACGCCTACAATCCCAACACTTTGGGAGGCTGAGGCGGATGGATCTCAAGGTCAGGAGTTCGAGACCAGCCTGGCCAAGATGTCGAAACCCCATCTCTACTAAAAATACAAAACTCAGCTGGGCACGATGGTGGGCGCCTGTAATCCAAGCTACTGGGGAGTCTGAGGCAGGAGAATTGCTTGAACCTGGGAGGTGGAGGTTGCAGTGAGCCGAAATCACACCACTGCACTCTAGCCTGGGAGACAGCAAGACTCCGTCTCTAAATAAATAAATAAATAAATAGCCAGCCACTTTTCTGTTGATTACACTGTGATGCCAATGAAGTTATGTATAATTTTGGGTTCCCTTTCTATATACTGATACTAAAATGGAAAAAGTTTTGGTGAAACATTTTAAAGATGAGAGAAGGTATATGTAGTTTCAGTTACCTTTGTAAGGGATGCAAAATTTGGTTTTTAAATGGAGCAATAGTTTCTTTTGGTTAATTCCTGTGCTTTTTGTTTTTTTCATAGATGCAGGGGGAGGCACACCCTAGTGCTTCCCTTATTGACAGAACCATCAAGATGAGAAAAGAAACAGAGGCTAGAAAAGTGGTCTTAGCCTGGGGACTCCTAAATGTATCTATGGCTGGAATGATATATACTGAAATGTAAGTGAAGCAGCCCAAAAAAAGTGAAAATTTAAGAAGCTGGTGACTGGTTCCACAGATTTTTGTGTTTGTTTTCGATTTTTGGTGTTTTTAAGTTCACTGGAAAGCCTTTCTAATTTTTTTTCAGGACTGGAAAATTGATTAGTTCATATTACAATGTGACATACTGGCCCCTCTGGTATATTGGTAAGTAATTAATTTTCACTGTAACTTACATTTACCAATGAAAAACTACTTTCAGGTTTAATTCAGCTTAGTATACATTTACCAATGAAAAACTGCCTTTAGGTTTAATTCAGCTTAGTATACATTTCCTTATTCAACAAGTATTTGCCTGCCTGCTGGGTTGTAAAAACTGGGAATACAGCAGAAAGGGAGCAAGGTAAAACCCTGCTATTATGAAAGGAACATTCTCTTAGACAATCAAATTAATAAACAACACTTCAGGTAATTATGAGTTCTGTGAAGAAAAATAAGTTTAGCGGTTAGTGAGATTTGTTTTTGTTACTCTCCTGAAATGCCCTTTCTGTGTCTCTACCTTTTTACCTTTCAAGACCAGCCCAGATTTCTGCTCCATTGATGCCTTCCTCAGTTTTCACATTCTTTCCTCTCTTCTTGTCTGCTCTTCCATAGTCCTTGGGTATAAACAGTCTTTATGGATGTAAAATAAAATTCATAAAATTAATTTCATTAATCTAAAGTCTTTTACAGGGAGATAGTGTGCCATGTTGGGAGAGCAAGGGATTTGCGATCAGCAGACCTCAGTTAGAATCATGGCTTCACTAACTAACTATACTCTTGTAAGAGTCACTTGGCTTCTGAATGAGTGTTGGTTTATATTTAAAATGAAGGTGAAAATATTTACTGTACAGGGTTGCTAGGATTAGTGCTATTTTGAAATTTTGAAACTCACTAGTAAATGACCTACACTTATTTATTTATTTATTTATTTATTTTATTTATTTATTTTTTTTTTTGAGAAGGAATCTCGCTCCATCACCCAGGCTGGAGTATAGTGGCAGGATCTCAGCTCACTGCAACCTCCACCTCCCAGGTTCAAGCAATTATCCTGCCTCAACCTCCCAAGTAGCTGAGACCACAGGTGTGCGCCACCACACCTGGCTAATTTTTATATTTTTAGTAGAGATGGGGTTTCACTATGTTGGCCAGGCTGGTCTCGAACTCCTGACCTTAGGTGATCCACTTGCCTCAGCCTCCCAAAGTGCTGAGATTATGGACGTGAGCCACCATGCCCAGCTGCCCTACAGATAATAGACATTCATTAAATTAAAGTTTTTATGAGGAATAAGAAGGTAAGAATAAGAAGGTAATTTTAGTTAGTTCGCTAAGTATAGAAGGTTTTTGTGTTCTCCAATAAATGCCCTCCTCACCCCCCTTTTATTAAAAAAAAAAAAAATTGTTCTCTTCCAGAGCTTGCTCTTGCATCTCTCTTCAGCCTTAATGCCTTATTTGATTTTTGGAGATATTTCAAATATACTGTGGCACCAACAAGTCTGGTTGTTAGTCCTGGACAGCAAACGCTTTTAGGGTTGAAAACTGCTGGTGAGTGTTTTACATCTCTTGCAAAGGTGGGGAAAAGATTGACAATAAATCTTTCTCAATTTAATTTTCCCATTTCGTAGACTCAGAGCTGGAAGGGACATCAGCTATCTTAAGCAGGATACAATAAATTGTCTTATGACCAATGATTATCATTCCTTCTTGTATACGGTCAACTATTTCATGCAAGTTTGTTCCATTGTTCAGGTGCAATTAAAATTAAATGACTGACTTGCTGAGTTGAAACCAGTTTCTGATTTTGCACTCTGGAAATGATAAACACCTAATTTGTGTCCTTTGGTAATAATACATTCTGTGATTTAACAACCAAGTAACTCTGTTAACTTTTTTCCCTGAAGAAAAAGACTTAGTTGCTTAAATGTATTTTCATATAATTTTATTTGTATGTACATACACATATGTTGCTTTTTTTTTTCCTTCTAGTTGTACAGACTACTCCTCCACATGATCTGGCAGCAACCCAAATCCCTCCCGCTCCACCTTCCCCTTCAATTCAGGGTCAGAGTGTGTTGAGTTATAGCCCATCTCGTTCACCCAGTACCAGTCCCAAGTTCACCACCAGCTGTATGACTGGTTACAGTCCTCAGCTGCAAGGTCTGTCCTCAGGTGGCAGTGGTTCTTACAGCCCTGGAGTGACCTACTCACCTGTCAGTGGTTATAATAAGGTAATGACTCTCTTCTCTTGTCTAGTCACATTATTTTAGAATTGGGAGGTATACTAAAAATCACCTAATGAGTCAAAACTTATTTTATCAATGAGCAAACTGAGACTTGACTTGCCCAGAACACCCATTTAAAAACCAAGAATATCTGGTTTTAAAAAAAACACAGTATCTCAAACACAACGTCTTAAACAGAAAAAATGAGCATTTGCAGAGATAACAAACTTAGGTTCACCATCTACGATCTTTCAGAAGTCGTTTGAAACCATGATTTTTTACTTTGGTTGCTTTTACTCATGTTTTCCCTCTTTCCTTCTTCATGTGAGGCCTTTGTATATCCTTTTAGAGTTTTAGTGTGTTTTATCATGTTGGAGTGTCTTCTAAGCTAGAAACTGGGATTGTCACATAGTTGGTTTTTTTTTTCCCAATGAGTACAAATTAATCTTGAGTATGGACACTTTCCATGGAATAGTGGGAACCTTCATTCCCACTCCCACAGTAATGTGAAATTCTGTTCTAATTTTTAGGATTAATAGAAACTGGATTGACAAATTGAAATTATGACTCCTTCCTGAGGCATAAAACTATTAACATAAGAGGGGCATTGAAAGAAGAGTAGTCATTTCAGATGCTGTCGCTACTGTGTTGGACTGACATCTCTATAGCTGCTAGTTAAAAGAGGAGTCTCTGGAGATGAAACCGACACACTGTCTGCCCTTATCCATTTACATATTTATTTGTAACGAAATTCCATACTACTGGTTATCTGATATTAAAATTAATTTTGGCAGGTAATAGAATTTTGAAAATTTTGTACAAGTTAAATTTTTATGAAAAAGTATATATGTAGTGAAAATTCATAACTCATAGGTAAATGCGACTTTTAAAAATAATTTTTCACAAGATAATACTAAATGATCCTTATAGAAAATTGGAAAAGTAAAATAGAAGGAAAATTATTATAGTCCTGCCACACAAAAATAATCTGTTTAATGGCTATTTAATACTCATCTAATGGATATACCATAATTTACTCTTGAATATTTAAGTCATTTTCATTTTTTAAAAACTTTTTAATGTGTACTAAATAGCCCTGTACATAAAATTCTTGATAAATTTGGGATGGGAGTGTCTGTCCAAAAGAATTGTACCAATTTACATTGTCACCGAAATGTAGAAGAGAATTTGTTTTACCTCACTCTTGACCATCAAGTTAATTTAAAAAAAAAAAATGAATCTCTGCTAATAAGAAACATGACAGGCTGCGCGTGGTAGCTCACGCCTGTAATCCCAGCACTTTGGGAGGCCGAGGCGGGCGGATCACGAGGTTAGGAGATCAAGACCATCCTGGCTAACACAGTGAAACCCCGTCTCTACTAAAAAATACAAAAAACTAGC